GCCACTCGGCAACTTTATGATCCGCGTTTTAACAGCCAGATCGTATTACCGATTCTGACGATCATTTCCCTATTCATCCGTGTACATGAGCGAGCGGGTGAATTCATCCGTCGTTGTCTGTAAATTCATTAATATTGATTAACTTGCAGTTTTCCTCCGAACAATTTTTTCGAGTAAATTTTAATCGAGTGCGTTCTTCATTAGAAAAAAAATCGGATGAACAAAGCTAAGTTTCTCATGATTACGTAAATTTTGTCGTGCAAACTACAATTAAATCGAATAAAAATCGTGATAAATCAACAATTTAACATACGAATTTGAATTAAGTAAAGATTCAATTGTTAACTGAGAGAGAGAGAGAGAGAGAGAGAGAGAGAGAGACCTCTAATCTCAAGAGTTCTTTAATAAACTAATAATATACGTATTAGGTTCAGTGAACAATTTTTACAGTGAAGATATTTTAAGTGTGAAAACTTGATATCTGAAATTAAGCGCTTTTCTCGCGCACGGACTCTTCATTTTATTTGCGAAAAGTTAGCGATTCTGATTCTGTAATTGAAATTAAGATTTGCCTGCGCAACTGACTATTATATCGCTTAAATGACGCTTGTGGGGATCCCCTCGTTGATTCGTACTTTTATTTACTAAATGGCAGCGGGTAGGGATTATCCTTTCTTTCTACCAACGATTCGGTTACCCTCGTGCGAGGAGCATCGCCCCGCAAAATAATAAACATCGTCGCAAAGCATCGCACGTATGGGGATACATATGGTGACAATCGCCGTGATCCCTACGAGAAGCTAGCAAGTGGCCAATTTATCGCTCTAGTGGGGCTTGTGATGGATTAGTGATTGATAAGTAAAATATAAATCTTATCAGTTAGATATATGAAAGTTTGAAAAATTGATATTTGCGCATGAGTATTCGTTATCATTTTAGAAATAATTGTGACTACTTTAGAAATGATATGCTGCGAACTCGAAGGTCATCAAGAACTGCATCATGAAAATCGAGATGGTTTCGCATTGCGCATATAACGAGTGAACGTGATTATCCCGTTAAATGTGTATATCACTCATAAAACGCCTTCGGTCGTGCACGAAATATCCAGAACATATGTTGATCCAGGCTGCAAATCCTATCATAATCCCGATGTAAGCGACACAATAGTCGGGGAGCATCGATGAAACGACGTAAAACGACGGAGTCCATCGTGGATGATTAATCGCCTCTGTCTGTATCGTAAGCCTCGTAATTCCATCCAACTGGACAACCGAGTGATGGCTTAGCGTTTTACACGTTCCCAAAAGGATGTGTCTAAAAGGAAAAAAAAAATGAAAAACTATTCTGGTAAAGTGCTTGAACAAAAGAAATCTGAATTTTTCAGAGTCCAAAGCTGCTATGCGATAACGGACGGGAATCAGACGAGATGAGCTATAGAGTTAAGACGAAACTCGCAAATTCTTTCTTATTCCGGCCTAATCCGAAGGAACGACCGTAATAAAACGGATCAAAGGGGGATCATGCCTCGGAACACGGTGATATCCCCACTCCATTCTACGACTCCCGCGGCGAACACTCGTTTCAGCTTGTTTCTCCACCTCGATTCGTCACTTTTGCCACCAACTTCGTGCGGCCGTAGCTCCCTCGCAGTCAACCAACCAACCCCTGTGATTCTCACAGTCAAGATTAGGAGGGGAAATCTCGGTCGTAAGAGAAAAAGAGAAAGGAGAGAGGGCGAGAGAGGAAGGGAGGAAGGGAGGAGGGGAGAGAATTTCGCGCGATGGAACGATTGCTTTTCCGCTCGTCGGGTTTTTATCGAGTTATCGAAACTCCATTGACACCGAGACAAATTTCATTCCGAGCCGGCAACCTCGTTGGCGCAACAACAAGCGTATCCGTGAAATCGAACCGTATCGGTTGATATAGAGCGTAAATATTAGATTTCCGTATGGATTTTTTGCACCATGTCTCTGTATTCGCGTACTCTCTGCATTATAACATTAAGATATAAAGTGCAAGAGGAAAATTTATCGAGCTAAAACCAATAATAAGTAACGTTAATATATCTAGTTTTGTGTACCGCATAAAAATGTACTATAAATAATCAATAACTTATAACTCGAAAAGTACTTAATGAAAAAGTACTTAGTGTTTTAAAAAGCTCTCGAGCTAAGTTACAAGAATATGTAATGAAAAATGAGCGTTTCTATTTAAGAAATTAAAGGTGACTTTCACGTGACCTTGACAATGCTTTTTCGGATCATACCAATGCTACTGTGTAATGCATCACTTAAAACTCTACAACTTTTGTATGAAACTTTTTTTTGATAAAGCATTGTTTTAAAAATATTCAACCGTTTCCGGTCTTCCTAACCATCTTATATATGTATATACGAGGGTGGGGTGAAAAGTTTCCGGCCTGATAAAGAAAAACAACTTTTTTCGTTTTTTTTTTCGTTTTATTTTTCAACAAAATCTCCATCAAGATTTATACATTTTTCATAACGTTGCTCTAATGCAGTGATACCATTTTTATAGTCCGATATATCAAGTCCCTCAAAATACTCATTTACAGCATCGATGACTTCCTCGTTGGTCTCAAATTTTTTACCTCCGAGCCATTTTTAAGGTTAGGAAACAAATGATAGTCGCTGGGGGCTAAATCTGATGAATATGTTGGTTGGGAGAACAATTCGAAATTCAATTCCTTGATTTTAGCCATCGCAACGACCGACGAATGGACAGGTGCATTGTTATGGTGAAACAAGATTTTTTTCTTCGCCAAGTAAGGTCGTTTATTTTTCATTTCGTCCTTCAAACGCTGTAATAACTCTGTGTAATATTGACCAGTGATGGTTTTACCCTTCTCCAGATAATCAATGAAAATAATTCCTTTCGTATCCTAAAAAACAGTCGCCATAACCTTATTCGTCGATAAAATTATTTTTGCCTTCTTTGGGGTTGGTTCACCTGGTCCAATCCATTGTTTCGACTGTTGTTTAGTTTCAGGAGTGTAGTGGTGAATCCAAGTTTCATCCACAGTTATAAATCGACGCAAAAATTCGCTGGGGTTTCGCTTGTACAGCGCCAAATTTTCGATTGAAAGTTTTCCGGGTGAATTTTTGATCGAACGTTAGCAAACGCGGCACCCACCTAGCACAGAGCTTCCTTATGCCTTATAGTCCGGACCTGGCACCAAATGATTACCACCTGTTCCTGTTTATGGCGAATTTTTTTGTTGGTGAAAAATTCGCCTCAAGAGAAGCTTGTGAAAATCGACTTTCCCAGTTTTTTGCCAATAGGGACGAGGGTTTTATGAGAGAGGCATAATGAAATTACCTTCGAAATGGCAACAAGTTATCGAACAAAACGGTGCATATTTGACCTAAATCGGATTATTGTAACTATGTTAAATAAAGCCTCCAATTTGATACAAAAATAATGGATTACTTTTTACTAGACCTTATATATATTTATTTATCATATGTATATATATATATATATATATATAATTTCTAGCTCTTAAGGCCTTTGCTTATTAGACTGTTTACAATAAGTTATTAATCATAATGTAACATACATAAAGTAAAAGAAAATCTACCAGTCAGACTCTTCTACGTTTTGAAACCTTTAATATATATCTAACGTAGCAAAAGTATCGCAGCATCACAATTATGTTGCTCTGTTACATATTAATGTTGTTAATATATTAGTATACTCGTATAATGTGCGAGGAGCTTGCACGACTTAACTCCTGCAACCTCCTCGCTGATCATGTTCTCCTAAGACCAAACTAAATTTCCATAGATTCTCGATGCTGCAGTATTTTCACAGATTCTAATCAGGGGAATCCTCTTATTAATATCTTTTAGCAATTAATATATTTTTTTAATAATTTGTTATAAATAGACATAATCAAACTTCAAGATGTATATATTTTAATTAAAAAATGGAATTGTAACAGAGCATTATAATTGTGATATTGCGACACTTTTGCTACGTAAGATATATATATAAAAGCTTCTAAAACGTATGTTCTTTGAATGTTCCCACTTTGTTTGAATATAACCAAACCAAGTGAACGTAAAGCGAACGTACCTCGAACGTTTACGTGCTGTTTTGGTAGGAGACGTCGAAATAGATTAGCTGCTCTCAGAAGTTTGCTTATGGACCATAAAAAAGAAAGCAATTTAATACAAAATGTGACGCGTGAAGCATAGCTTGAGCGTTCACGGCCATATATTGGAATTGGCGGAAAAGTTAATTAGCAAATTGTAATGATAATTCATCCACAGGTGGAAACAATATAGCGCTGAGTTGCGTGATTTAGCTTACCATTCAGACAGTTTCCCACAATGTCGCTTTTCTATTTATGTAAAGACAACTGCTTGTTTTCGACACGATGCTTACTTTCGTGCTGGATTGCTTGCTGGAGAGAAATACTGCGTTCTGATTGGCGCATTTCCAAATGGATGTCAATACGTTAATCGTGTGTTGTGGCTTTAAATTCTATTCTGACATCAAAACGGTCGCACTTGGTCTGTTCTTTTTTGCTGCCTTGGTGAATTGGTGAAATAATAGCGAATTCGGTTCCTTGCACTAGTGCGCACTAAAGCCGATCCGTATATTAAATTACGCAATTAGTAATATATTATATGTATATTCCGTTTATATATATTTAAAATGATCTTAAGTTTATTTCCATATATCGCACGCGTCATTTCATTGGCTAAGAAGCATCTGTTAATGAATTGGAGAAAATATTAAATTTGAGAACGAATTGTAAGTCTGACTCAATGTGCACTAGTGCAAGGGACTGAATTCGCTTTAAGTTAGAATGAAACAGTTATATTTTGTCTCACACTACTAATTTCAGCAGGGCAACTAAAAAGAACGGACCAACTGCCGGTAAAAAGGGAACACACCCTATGAATACATATATTAGTTGAGCGGTGTTCCGTTAGGTGGTCTCTGTCGTTGCGCGATCGTGATAACCGTTATCTCGTCTTATCGCGATTAGTGGTTGAAGCGATTGTGGCGTGGAGAAAGCGCGGTTAGTAGGTAGATGCGATAGATGTAGATAGTTTAGGTCAGTGGTTCGAAGCATTGTAGTTTTAGTTGTGAAGGTTTTCGCAAATTTCCACGGAAGCTTAAAATAAAAGAGAAAAGCGATATATCCCGGAAAAGAGGCAAATATAAAAAGAGGAAGAAAAAGAGATCTGTGCCGCCAATAGTAGACGGTGATCGAGTTATAGTGCAACCCCGTAGTTGCAGTATATATATATTCCTTTCGAGACATGCCACTTCAAGTATTACGGTAACATGGTATCGTTGTTGAACGAATCGCTGGACGTGATCAAGTCGCGTTTCGCACATTCTGCTGACAAACCCGAATGGATTCCGTTGTCTCTGACATTGGTGGAGTATCCGCAAGGTCGGTATCCGCTTCACTTTTGCAGTAGTCCGGAAAGTTCGAGGACGATGAAGGCGAGCTCTTGAAAGCTCATCGGTCGTCGATTAGTGTGCTGCTTATTTTGTTAATTTACACCCACATATGTACTTACTATTCCTTACCCAGATAACCAGGCTGTTGTAAGCTTTAGTAGGCGATTCCAATGATAAGATGTGAACAAAACATATTTATGTACAAATTGATATTGATATAATAAAATTATTTCAGCAATAATCCACTTGAGATAAAAATTCCATGTGCAAACATGTGTTTTATTCAGCTCTGTCATACCACGATAATTAAGTTACACACTATAATCAAATTTCATGTTTTCCGGTTCTATTTGATATCTCTACAAAAATTTGGGTAAATATACAGTATAATAATATTCTCCTACCAGACCTATTTGAAATTTTGATAATTTATACATTTTAATGCGTAGAATTAATTTCTGAAAATAAAATCTATCCTTTGTGTACTGTTTTCTTTTTATTTCAATTGAATTCTAAATTACTAATATCTAAATGAATGATACTTCCATATTTTTCGCATTTTAAATTATTATTTATAACGTTAACTAAAAAATTAATTAAACTTTGCCTTTCATTAGTTAATATTAAAAATTTGCGTAATTTCATATTTTGGTTACTACAGTTATAAAAGATTATAAAGGCAAATATTCTGTGCTATATTATATAATTGAAATTAGACGCAAGTTAGACACAAAGTTTAATTAGGAAATTTATCACTTTCCTACTTACCGACATAATAAAACTGTGCATGAGCGACAAATTTCATTTTCAGAAATTAGTTCTACTCATTGAAATACACAAATTATCCGAATTTCAAATAAATCTGAGGGCAGAACGTTATATTATATATTTACCAAAATTGTTTGTATCTAAAATAATAAGAGAATATAGAGACAAGATTTATTTGCTTTATGTGTCTAATAATTGGTCTGTTCTTTTTAGCTGGACTAGCTGCATTAGTTCAAGAAGTTTACATACATATTGAAGCGTATGAAGCTTAAATACGAGATTCTCATGCTTCAGCGTGTGTAAATTTCTTGATCTAGTTTAGCCAGTTCAGGTAAAAAGAACAGATCAAATGTATGCATAAATTTCTAGGAGATCTTTTTGGGAAGTTCTTGGCTGTAATAAGTTTAGTACCCTTTGCCATTATAGCTGGTTTTCTCGCATTAATACTCTTTAGAAGGGATTTACATACTGTAAGCAATCATGATTCTTTGCATAACATACGGGATGTAACATAATGTATAGGATTTCAGGGATAAATTTAGCATTTGAAAACAATAAAAAAACCACACGATACGTGCCTAATTTGATCCAAGTTATAGTGAGTTATGTGTTCCAGTAATTTGATAAACCGAGCCGATACACCCAATTTCATTCAGTTGCTTATAATCAGTGTTGGATATCTTATTTATAGTTTTGTTAATTATTTCCTAAAGACTGTTTTGTAACATTTTATGAATCATTTAGATTCAACTTGTCGATAAAAGTATCTATGTATCTATTAGACTCTTCCTATGAGAAGATTTAGAATCCAATGTATAGAGAACATCTACTGAAAGGATTGAAGTACTTTGCTATCGAATTAAAAAAGTTTTCGGCAAATCTAATTACCAGATTATAGAGAATGATGTATGAAGAAAAAAATAAGATTGGTGATATAATATTTATATACTTATATTGAGATACAACGTTTTCACTGGTTATGAAAATAATTCAAGCTTTTATAAAAGAAAACTGGCTATAACTTGGAGACAAGGTTGAATATGATATTTATATCAACATTTTTATTCGTCTGAAATATTAAGTTCATCCCTGGGCCTCATATATATTACATATATATTACATAACCCTATATATAAATATAACAACATACAATGGCCCGTATTCCGAACATATATACAACGATGTTAGCGTGCTAAGAAGTCAATTTATTTGTTCTGAGTAGAAATTTTGTTATAAACGTGCGTGGTCGTCGATTTTTCTTGACAGAACACTGTATTTAGAATACCAGCGATATTGAGAATGCTCACATCTCTTATTAGCGCGTTAACATCGTAAACGTGTTCAGAATACAGACCAATATCTACTAAATTCATTAATACACTCACAGATGTATGATTTATCATATTTGTTGCAGATTGTATTTTTTAGTGGAGTTATTATTAACGAGTGTATAAATTTTATATTGAAACACACAATCTGCCAAGCAAGGCCGATTAAGAGAGATGGCCTATACACCGAATACGGTATGCCATCTACACACGCACAATTTATGTGGTTTTTTGCAGCATATGCGTCATTTTTTATATACATTAGGTAAATCACCTCCCATTATTTTATATATTGTTCTCATTGTGTCTATAATTTAGAGAATGTTGTGTCTCAGGTTAAATTACAACTGTACGATAGCAGAGAGATTTTGGCGAACAGTAGTAGTAATAGGATGCATTATCGCAGCTGTATTGGTAACCTACAGCAGAGTATATTTACTGTACCACTCCAATATCCAAGTAGTCTGGGGTGCATTAATTGGTGTTGTACTGGGAATAGCATGGTTCGCAATTACACATACGATTCTGACGCCGCTTTTCCCCATAATAGTTTCATGGTGAGTAATAATTAAACAATTAACGTTTGTAACATATAATGTTCAAGCAAATGTACGACAAATTCGACCCGGCGAGTTTGGAAAGTCCAATTCCCTTGGCTGAGGCAGTATTTCTTTTTTTTTTTGCAATACTAAAAATGGTTCTCAAATGAAGTTCCTCACCGCGGTCATTCTATTTGATGGCGTCAGAAATGAGGAAAATCATGTTAATTTATATTACGGTATACATGCGGTCTGTTCTTTATATGAAGTGGCTGCACTAGTTCCAAAAATGTATATACACATCGAAGCGTATGAAGCATATATACAAGATTCTCATGCTTCAGTGTACGAAATTTTCTCGAACTAGTGCAACCAGTCCAGCTGTAAAAAACAGAGAAACAATGGAAGGAAAAGGATACGCTACAAAAATGACATTCGTGATCGCAATAACGGTTTTTAATTGGAGTCTAAGTAACCCCAGATGATCGTTTATGTTAAAAAAAAAAAAGGTAAGGTGATTATTCTCGGGTTAAGGGCATTTTCATGCAAAAATCAGATCAGAATAATACTTTAAAATTTATAAAGAAATTTCTTGTCGCACACTCCAACATGGCGACGTAAAATGTAAACAACAATCTTTGTGCTCTTGCATGCGCTGTGTGATTTAGAGTACGTTCATATGAAGCTAATGAAATATGAAAGGTACGCTGTTTAGTGTATTATATAGAAGTCTGTGGGGCCCAGAAGCCTCAAAATTTAGAGCATAGAAGGTGGAAGTTATTGTTACATAGGAAAATGATGCAATCGAAATATATGGTTGGTTGTGACGGTTGGCTACTTATTAGTGCTCCGCACACATAGGAAGTCTGGAAAAATGTCTCTTTGAAGTGTACGTTATATACTTGAATAATTTCATCTCGCAGCTATTAAACTAGTGAATAGTTCGTATTAACCCATTTTTTCAGTTAAATCATTCAGAGCCAATAAAATATTCAAAGTTTGAAATAACGTAATAATAGATGAAACCTATCTATATCTAATCATCGATTATTTAATGATGTATCTAATTTTTTATTTGATCTATCTATGAAATTTAATCTTCCTCCTTTTCAGGCGAATATCAGAATACTTGTTGTTACGCGATACAACGCTGATTCCTAATGTCTTGTGGTTCGAGTACACGAGTATTCGCACGGAAGCTCGAGCGCGTGCTCGAAAGCTTTCGGCGATTGGCAGATCGCATTGACATCTAATGTCGACTGATCAGTGTACTGATAACAAACTGAAATAAAAAATGCCTTGAACGATAAAGCACCGTAATTCACAGTTTGGCAAAGATCAAGAATTGGCGCGAGTGCGTTGAAATGTGGCTGAGAGATGTTTGGGTTGATTCCTCGTTTTATCGGAGAGAAGACACGTGCCGAAAAGAAAAATAAAAGAAATACCAGTACAAACGTACAACGACTGTGGAATGACCGTTATCTTCGTCATCGTCATCCAGTATCGTCGTTGTCTCTCATCAATATTATTTCATTATTAGTATTAGTGTTATGATACGCAGTAATATAAGTGATAATTTTTATTGAAAAATGTCCGAGATAGTAGTAAAACGCAGATTTTACATAAAAGAGAATCAATTTACCTGACTGTTGATGAAAAGATATTCCGTACTAGAAAGGAAACGATACTTCTATGCGTATTATACTGCATTAAAAGACATGTACAGAAACCGGTATAAAATGGCCTTAACATTTACCAGGCCCAAGATCATTTGAATTTTTCAACCGCATGTTCCAAATTTAAGCGCGATCGTACATTCTCCGAGTTTCTTTTTACAAATTGTCACCGACTATCGCCAGTGTTCAACAATACGTTCCACATTTACTCCTAAAAGGCGCCGCGCGTCAGCAGCGAATCTTTCATGTTCGGATACTTAATTAAGTTAAGTTATCGAAAGTGCTTTTGCAGACGAATGTTTGTTTCAAATCGAGACTGAAAATTGTAATACGACAGTGGAAGTGGTTAACGATTAGTCAACAATGAGCAGCTGCGAGGAGAAGAATCGAGCCTCTCGACAATATATCTAGTTTAGTATTACAGTGGATCGTTTTTCACGACATGTTTATCAAGACTCCACCCATATATTCATACGGATTTTCAAACGGGTTTCGCGAAGAAAGTTAAGGGCTTATGTGCGGTAGATATATTCTGTAATTTGGCACAACGGTGTCGTCATTATTGTGCAGGTATAATACATAGTGTTTCGCGGAAAAACCGACTTCTAGAATATATTCTAAGTAATTCTAAATTCATTTACAACAATTCATTTACATTATAGGTAAATTCAGCTCAGTTATCGAAATATAGATAATTTTATTAATATTGTAACAGGCGAAAAATTTACACGTATATATACGATGGTTGCCCATAAAAAATATTTTAGTTAGAGAACAAAGAGATATATAATTTTTTACAGTAATATAAATATTTCGGTGTAATGAAAGTTGTAGCGCTGTTTGTAACGAATACAATGATATACGATATAACGGGATTATTTTGCGACTTCGTTTCTGCTCTCTCACGGCACCGAACATTGCAGTAAGATTATAAGAAAATTACAATCTTACAGATTTGAATGAGATGTTACTGGTATATACTATTAACTTTACGTAATTTATAATAATATAATTTTACATTATAATATTATCGGAAAGTTAGTGGGATCTCATTTCAATATTTCAGCAACTTTATATTTAAACTTTTACATATGACTTTTGTTCTATTTTTGTTCTATTTACAACACGACTTGCACAGAAAACAAGTTTTTTTTTTTTTAATTAGAATTCCTATTTGTTAGATTTTAATTTCCTTGGATTTGTTTGTAACTAATTTATAAATTATATGGCATGTTAGTAAGACAGAGAGCGAGATACTACTAAGATACGACCTTTGTCTCACAGAGCTACTTATAGGCCACGGCTCTCACTGCATCAGTGCTTCTTTAGTATGTTATATAGTTCAATGTGTGAAGCTCATAAAATAATTTCGTTATACCGCACATCATTGTATTCGTTATAAATAGCGCTACAATTTTCGTTACATCGAAATATCTATTACCATAAAAAATTGTACTTATCTCTTTGTTCTCTAATTAAAATATTTTTTATCGACAACTACCATGCTCGTAATAGAGTTTGTTTAAAACTATTTAATTTAATATATATTTATTTATGGTCTATCTTCTCCAGTTTAGAAGGGAAAAAGAAATGGCCACTTCTAGCGAGACACCCTGCTAAAAGTGGCCAAAGTCAGTAAGCTTTAAAAAAGACAGTTAATTATTCTCTTCACATTCGACTGTGATTGGTCAATTTCTTAAGGCTTAAAATGCCTATTGTAGACCGGCACTACAGCAAAGTCTACAGTGAGAATTTAAGCTCTAAACCTTAAGAAATTGACCAATCACAGTCGATTATTCTCCTCTTATTCGACTGTGATTGGTTAATTTCTTAAGTTAAAGATTAAATCAACTATTGTAGACCAAGGCTAAACATATGAAGTGTACGTACGAGATTCGATAAATTTCTTGAGCTAGTGCAGCGAGTCCAACTAAAAAGAACGAACCAAAGATGTCGCCACTCCGCGGAGACACGCGATATTAGTGATCGATCGAAAATAAAGCGCATAAAGCAAAAGTGTGTACAAAGCGCAGCGAGAGGAAAAGAGTGGTGAGTGCGGTGTCCGTTGGTGAGAGAGGTTCTCGATCGTATGAGATCTGGACACGCGAGGATGGATTTCAATGTGAAAAAATTGGTGAAGGACGCGGGAGCCGCCCTCAGCAGAGTCGTGCAGGTGGGAATTCTACAATCTTTCAATCTTCTCGAACGTAAATTTGTAACGATGAGCGATGCGAGCGAACACGTTATGTTCGTTTTCGAATGACGAACGATTTCCCATGGATCTCAATTCGACTCGTCGTCGGCCTCGTCAAATTTCCAGATTATATTCACGCGATAATGCCATCGCTTTTAACCTAAATTTCTAATCTGATTTCGGCGAATAACGTCACCGACTGACTTGTCGTTCCTCTCGTGCAATCACGAAAATGAGTCACGCAAATTGTTTTCGTATAGTCGTATATGTCGAACGTGTTCGACCGTAAGTTACTCAGCGTAATGATTATACCTACCCGATAACTTATGGTCTGTTTTTTTTTTATAGCTGTGCTGCTGAACTAGTGCAATAAGTTGAAATGAGACAAGTATACGTTTTCTCACTTCAACTTATTGCAACGCTAGTTCAGCAATGCAGCTATAAAAAGCAGACCATTGAAAAATAAGTGATGGATTCTAAAGCTTTCACACTTTCTTAGTTAACGGAGGAAACATTAGGTACCTCAGAGAAAACAGAGTTAGATGCACATTTGGAGCATTTAGCAGAAAGGGGAAATGCCACCAAAGTATGGACAGAAAAAATACTGCGAAACATGGAAGCTGTGCTTACCCCAAATCCTGGTAAGGATTAATTGAGATAAGAAATATATATATGTGTGTACGTAGTATATATTATTGTTAACTATTTGTAACTATTATAGGCAACAGAATCGAAGATTTTTTCTATGAAAAAATCGATAAAAAGAAACCTAACAGGCTGAGCAATTTGGAGTATGTAGGCATTGACATGATACAAGCCGGGAATGATTTTGGTCCAGGGATGGCTTATGGTTAGTATTAACACAATTATGACAAATAAGAATTTCCCATGAAGAGTCTTGATCATATTTTAGGTAGTGCATTGATAAAAGTTGGCCAGTGTCAGCAAAAGTTGGGACAGGTTGAGAGAGATTTTATAGGGATTGCTGCCAACTGTTACATACAGCCTTTGAGAAAGTTCTTGGATGGAGAGATGAAGACTGTTAGCAAAGAGATGGCAATATTGGAAACTAAGAGGTAACAACATCTCATTTTCATTCCCTAACCACCATTGCTAAATAAAGTGTTGTTACTAACGATTTTTAAATGATTGTTTCAAACAATTTTTGCAGACTGGACTTGGACGCGTGTAAAAACAGAGTAAGAAAAGCAAGAAGTTTGCTGGGCCAACAGAGTGTAAGTATCGTATTATTGTCATTCTCGCTTAAAAATGCTTTTTCTATGTTTACGATGTGTTTTGTCCTCCACTGCTGCGATCAAATAGGAGTCCGGCGTACCACCCGAAGTGTTGCTTGATCAGGTATATTGATATAATCGACAGTTTCAGTCGCTTTTCAGACTTGGTTTTCTTCCGAAAATTGTATATCTTGTATCGTAAATATTCGGGATGTTCAGTATATTTCATAAGAATTTCAACGTAAGTTTTCTTACAACTAGATTAGTACTCAATTTCACAAATATTCGTAAATATTCCCTTTTCTTAATCTGAATAGCCTTAATATCTTGCTACAACTGCAGCATGCATCATCGGACAAATTTCTGTTTCTAGATAATGTATACAAGGTGTTTGACACATATGCGTCACATATTTATAGTTTAGGTCAATATAAACAAAAAAGTTCTGCAGTATTTTACAAACAACACGCAAAAGTTTGAGTTGTTAATTATTGAAAATATTGACCATTTATGAAGGTTTCTTTAATTAATAACTCAAAAATTAGACATCCTATATGTTTAAAATAGTACATCCTCTTATATGATAAGTATGTGTTTATATATTATATTGAAATATTTTTCATGTCGTTTAACATTTTGTGATATAATAATACGATAATAATAATTATCAAACGCATGAAGTTAGTTTTTGCGGAGTACCAGAGCAACGATCACGTAATTTTTCCTTAAAAACGGAAACGTGAAAGGTGAACAGTTTCACGTTGAACTCGACGATTTTCGCTATTATATAACTTTTCGAACTATGAGAACATGGAGCTTTTCACATTAACTTTTCCGCTTTAAAAACTCATGGCGAAAAGGCGAGAATTTGTGAAAATATTTTTGTTAGCATTAATATAATCTCTTTGGTATTAACAAAATAGGGATAGCTTATTCATAGCTATGTATGCAACCTTTTTAAAAACGAGCTTAATATGGCTTCCTAATCTAAAATATTAATCAAACTCAGTACAGTGATTTCACATTTTCTGCGCATTTAATTACATAATCGCCCTGTAATTAATGAAGAATTTCTGAAGTAGTTCACGTGGAATCGGAACAAATTAAAAGTCCCGCGCGCGCGTCAAATTATATAATCGGTGCCCCGGGCAATGCAATAACGGTTCCACGATTATACGTGTTTCAGAATTAACGACCAGATAACGGCGAATATTGCAGAAAACAAGAAATAAAATGTATGTCTTACTTACTCAGGCAGAGAGGGAGTTGAGGATAGCGCAGTCGGAGTTCGATCGTCAAGCGGAAATCGTGAAATTGCTGTTGGAGGGTGTCTCAAGTTCGCAAGCCGGCCATCTGCGGTGTCTGCACGAGTTCGTGGAGGCGCAAGCCCGCCACTACGCCCAGTGTCATGCCGTCATGCAAGACCTGCAGCGTGAACTTGCCGGGTGAGTCATTTCCCACATTCTCTCTTTTTTTTTTTCTTTGGAAAGGTATCATCTATCTGTCTGTCTATTTATTTATTCCGCACTCTCACGTGTCCCCCCTCTCTCTCTCTCTCTCACACATACAGTGTATGTTATTGCGACATTTCTTGTACAGCTATCCCACTTTATGGTGATCCGAGTGAGTAATATTTGACAAGCCTTGAATGGTAATGACTGTTACTTAGGTATCGATCTGCGCTTTTCCCCCCAAGCATCCGCGGGTATAGATTTGGGTGAAAAAAGGGCAATCGATCGCACATCGCGTTAACGCCTTGGTGACCTAAATCCTCCCCCCCCCCGTTCTCTCTCTCTCTCTCTCGCCACATTCTATCTATTTTTCGCTTGCACGGTTGGGATTGCAGAGCACGTCAACCGAGCCCTTTATTGAGAGTCAACAGCGAAGAATTGATCGAGCTGACACCCTCGCCTACATCCCCCGTAAACTCATCTGTCTACCCTCAAAGTTCGCCAATAACCGCCGCTGGTTCCGCCACTTATGTTACTGCTACCTTTGACACTGATATTAGTAAAGTCTAATTTGGCCAGATGCTTTCATATCCGGTGAGAATCGGCGCAATCGATATTACTCAGCGCTGCCATCCAGTCAGTTAGGTCCCCGCCTTTTTCTTGTCATTTTTTCTTGACAAATCACTAAAAGAAAACAGTTGTTAAACAACATTTTACTATTGTCCAAAATGGGTCACTATAGGATGCGGACACGAAAACAATACTATTAGCGCATTTCAGAACGCAGGCATAGTTGCCTTTTCCTTGAGCTGCCGTTAAATTCGAAAAAAATGTGAGAGTTCTACATATATTTTTGCCGTCTCTCTTAACGTGGCACGTAGAATTTCACTATTTTGTGGCAAGACAAAAAAGTGAACGGATTCTAAAAGCACCAGGTATTTGGGGGGTTTTCAGGCATAGAGATATTATAAATAGAAGGGGCAAGGTATACGGCTGTTTGTAAGTGGAAGCGTCCTCTCGGTAGAAAGAGAAAGAAGTCACAATTTCGAACAGGAAGCTTTATACGATCACCGACAACAATATACCTTATTGTTCAAAATTACTTGGAGAAACGACTGAAACATGAAAGCGACAAATTTAACGATGTAAAATATCGTATCCGTATGCGAAACAATAAAATGACGATATTTAAAGGTGAATAAACTGTAAGAGTACAAAATGAATTCTGTGATTACTTTAATGTGCATGTGATTATACTGTATTCATTAATTTATTAATGCGATAAAGATATTAATACTTTCATTTATATTTATTTCCAACAAGTTGAAATAAATAGTTTCACAGTAAATATAACAAATGAACGCTTTTTCATGAAAAATAAAATTAAGCTCGAGCCAATATCATAACGAAGAAGTTAATAAAATTGTTAAAAAGTTGTTAATTTACTTGAATTTCATTAATTTTTCCTTTCTATTTAACGTTTTAAATGAATATAAAAAACGCATGTATAAATATTAATTGGCACTTAATTTATGTTTTGTTTCTTCATGTTTATTAAATAAAAAAAAAAAATTCAATGTGGAATCGAACTTGAGTATGTTTTCAAAAGGACTACGTCGTAGTCCGCGCGGTTACGACACATCCCTTTGCTTTGATGGAAGCTTATATTTCAGTTGTGCTCCCCGTTTGGGTTTAAGTGGTACGGAGTTTAGGTTAACTCTGCTGTCGTCCCTCCTCTCAGCTGGGCTATGTAGTGGAGAAAACACGAGCCAATCACGGGGGGGAGAGGGGGGGGGGGAGAGAAAGAGAGATGCAAGACCCGCCCGGTCTTCTTTCTCTTTCTACCAAGCGGACGCCTCCAGAATTAACTTGCCCCCTCTATTTATAATATCTCTATGTTTTCAGGTCGCTGAATATAAATTTGAGATTAAAATTTTTAAATTCAAAATGGCGGATCTAATATGGCGACTAAAAAATCAAAATCTATGTGTTTGTTATAAAACTCGGTATTTAGGGTTCTTTGATTCGTTGAATACGAATTTAAGGTTAAAAATACCTACATTCAAAAATAATGGACCCAATATAGCTGCCAAAAAGTCGAAATTTATTCAAATACTTCGAAATCTATTTTTTATGAAGTTTTTTTTTACAAGTCTTTTAGATCGCTGATTTTGAGTTCAAATTCACAATCAGCGACCTCAAAAACCCCAAGATATCAGTGGTAATCCGTATTGTATGATCTAAACATATTTTTCACATTGCCCGTCGCATGGCGGGTTTGCCACGTTAGAGGTTAAAATAAAACTACTCTGAAAGCATATTTGTATTATTCATGCCCTTTCTTTGTTATGAACCTTCAAACGGTATTATGAAAAGAAATCGCTATATATTAATTTAAAGATAAAGGGGGAAGTAAGTGTTACTTCTTTTGCTTAGTCTTAGTCATTCTTAGAATTTTACGAAAAATATATCACTTTTGATCATTATTTTGATGTCTTGAGCAGTCTTCTTTGTCACCTTTTCTGCCAAAAAGCGGTCACTATTTTACTTTTCTTGTTCCGGTGATTGGATAGCAGCATTATACATTGATGATTCCCCAGATCTTAGCGATCCAATTGTAACGGACCCATCGGCATTCGTCATCACTCGAAATGAACGAAACGCCGTTCTGTCTCTCTTTTTTGTTTTTCTTTTTTTTTTTTATCGGGTAGCGAGGATCAATTGGTCGCTCGATGCTGGCATTAAATAGAGCTTGGTTTAACTCAACTGCTTGATCGTTGAAAAACTTGTTACTGAATACGGCCGTGCTGTAACTTTAATGTGGAAAATATCAAGGTTGGATAGTAACTAGTTATTGAATTAAAAGTTAAGTTAAATAGTTAAAAAGACAATAAGTCTAACTTAAATTAGTTATTTTTAACTTATTAACTTTTTCTTTCTCTTTTACGTAAATTAAAATCTTTCATCAGTAGTTGTGCTTTCCAAAAAGAGAAACACAAGATCATTTCATTGGCTACATATCAAGTTAAAATAATCTTAAGATGATACCTATGTTTAGCACGGGTGCAAAATCTGGCTCTGTACAAAGCTAGATACGTTCGCAAGAAAGGCTCCAAAAATAATTTGATGAGAAAATATAATTTTTCCAAATTAAAATATAGGAAAGCGCAGATAGAACGAAAAGTGTAATCTAGAGGCACTTTTATACAATCGATATTTGACTTCTGTGAACCCTTAAGGCCTATTTATGCAAGTCGTAAATCGTCAACTTCCTCTATTACTTGTCTTTCTTTATCTCGTATACAAATTCGTTGATTCCAAGAGACAAATGTTATACATCCGAATTTATCATTTATATATCCTACCCAGCCTACCTGGGGGTCCCTATTACACCACTCCATCAGCCTCCACCAATGCACTAGCAGAGAACGATCAGGACCGAGCGAGAGTGTTATGCAATTACGATGCAAGAGATCCTAGCGAGTTAAGCGTCGTGCAGGACGAGGTAACGAAATTTGTAATTTAGGTGCGAAGTGCGCAGCAGCATGTTTGCGATGCGGAACGAAAAAGGCATGAAAATCGTGAGCGAGAGTGAATCGCGCAAGATCATCCCGTTCAAGCGTTTAGTTTGTAGATCTTTTTTTTTTCTTTTCACTCGAACTTCGTATATATACTCAAGAGATTACTCAAGAGGTCCTTCTTCTTTGTCAGGTCATGCAATTCGTTTTAGGTTCAAATTACCGTTCAGAACTGCGTTCTCGATTTTCTTTCTTTCCATGAAAATACAACATCCGAATTTTTTTCGTCCGCTCATCGAAAGAGAATCAATATAACTCTGTCTTGGAATATTGAACTTCTTGACACATTAGACATAAAAACTCACTTTAGAACGAGACGCTCTCATGTTTGCAAATCTTCTAAGAGTTCTTCTTTCTCCCTCCCCCCTCTCTCTGTTGATAGTAACAATTAGCATACTGGTGCATTTATCCACAAGCAGCTAATACATTGGGTCTGTTCTAGATAACTTTTGACATTTTTACATCTAACGCCTGTTGCACATTGGCCTCGCTTTAAAAAAAAAAAGAGTTGTCATTAGATATCGCTCATCGCAATCGATATGCAACGGACATCACATACAAAAGTGTCAAAAGTGCAAGCGAACAAACCTCTCGTTAACTTGCGAGATACTACTACTATTCTAGATGAAAATACATTAATTTTGAGAAAAAAATTGCATTCACCTACACGTGCAGTATCGCATCTTCATATAATATCGATCTCGAGGAGATACGGCGAGAGATGTGTAGATTGTGATAATCATATAATGCATTAATTATATTACGAAGAGATATAACACGGACTATATTAACCTGTAAAAGCGTGGGGAATCAAACTGATCCGACACAGACGCATGAACAAACGAATGTTTCGTCTTTGCCAAGTGACACTTTCAATAACTTCTCTGTACCACTTACTCTTGAATTTAGTGAAGTAGCGTCAATAACATTCGAGAATTTCAGCTGTAAACAGCAGTTCTTATATCCCTCACGCGCCCACTTACGGACTAACTAACCGCTTTCAATTAGGAAGAAATATTTTCTAAAGGAACACGTTGCAATAGAAACCGATACGGTAATAATGATGACAGCAAGCAATATCAGCGAGACATAGCAATATCAGTAAGACGTCCTGCGATTATTATATGCGATCTTTCGAAGGAATGGTTTTCTCACGAATTGCAATACACGATATCCGAAATATGCCTTCAATGAAATACACTTGAGAAAAGATTAACTGAGAAGAGGTATATATAGATATAGATTTATTCCCGCGGAAATAGCAATTAATTAAGCAATTAATTCATAGTTTACCTACACCGTACTATTGTGCATGGTAAATAATAATTAGCAATTAGCAACTTATGTACGAGGAGGATTTATGTGCGTCAGCCTTCTTATACGTTATAATCGTTGATGGTGTGATATTACATACTTCCTTCCACATTTATTGATTTGTAAAATAAGACAAAATGCGATTTTCCTCCACTTTAGATTTTATGCGAAACATGTATACACTCGCGAAAGGCCGAATCACAAACGTACTTGTGCGTGAAACGAATTATTATATGTGTATATTTATTCAAGTTGTGCATGTATTATATTAATAAACATCTGCCGTTTTACTTTGTTAAATTGCATCTTATTTATTTACACCGCAACCAAGTCTCATCGCAATCATCATGTTCTCTGTGTATTTTTTATCTGTACATTTGTACTTGATGTGTATCTTTATTGGCACAATGTCATTATATACAGGATGGGCCATAAATCTGGATACAGTCGAATATCTCGTGAACGATGTAATTTTGAAAAAAAAAAAATGTTTTAAATAAAAATTGTAGGGTTTAAACAGATCTGTTATAACTTTTATTTCAAACATTTTTTTTCAAAATTGCTCTGGATATTCGACTGTATCCAGACTTTTGGCCCACTCTGTATGAGCTTTTTATATACGTATAATACAATCTATTATGATGAAAATGTACGTGCTACAACATCACTGAACGTATTTCACGCGATATCTTTTTTAGGTAATTGGAATTTACGAAATTTCCGATGACGAAGATTACTTCATGGGAGTCAGAGGCAATCAACAAGGAAAAGTGCCCAAAGTATTTTTGGAGACGCTTATTATACATCATTGAAACGTTTAGAAGAAAAATGATTATCTATTGTCAATTGCATTTATAGAGCAAACTTAGCGCTATTTTTGTTTTAGTCAAACTCAAATCTCAAGTCCAAACAAAGGCAATCTTACACTTAGGCCTGAGAAATGTTTACTTTATCAGGACCAACAAATCATTCCATTTCAACTTAAATTATTCTCCTATATACACTTAACATATCGTAATTAACACTCCTAGATATTCGTTAGAGCTATTCTTCTTTGATGATGTTAGAAATGAGGAAATTCATGTCAATTTATGTAACGGTATATGTGGAAATAAAAGAATATACACATAAAATAACACTCGTGATCGCACACTTGTAAAAATGTCCGGACGTTTTCTTTCAAGCTGAACAATTATATACAATAGCCGTAAAATTAATGTAACAGAAATCATAGGAAAAAAGATAGGATAAAACATAAATTATATGTTACACTAATTTACGTCTATTTATTAAGACTCCGGAGTAATTGCTGCAACTGTCCTTGTTTAATGACGTCAGAAGCGAGAAAACGCGTGCCAAAATTTTTTGTGTTATATTTTCCAATAAAAAGATATATCCACAAAGTGACATTTGTGATCGATTCGGCACATTTGTACAAACACTTTTCTTTTACTCGAACAATCAATAAACAGTCGCAAAATCAATTTGACACGGAACCTTCTTTTCCAACCTTTTTTCTCGTGATTTTGTCAATGTTAACTTTACGATTTGATTTAATGATTGTTCGAGTAAAAGTATTCGTACTATTTTACAAATTTACCGACCACAAATGTCATTTTGCGATTACATCTTTTTATTGGAAAATATAACCCAAAAAATTTTGGCACGCGTTTTCTCGCTTCTGACGTCATTAAACAAGGACAATACAACGACTACTCCGGAGCCTTGATTATTGAGGTTGTAAAGGAAAGCATTTTTACAAACCGAATCGATCACGAGTGTTATTTTGTGCGTGCATTCTTTTATTTCCGCATATATCGTCATATAAATTGGCATGATTTTCCTCGCTTTTGACGTCATTGAAAAAGAACAGCAAGTATCCAGGAGCATTCTTCTCTTCTTTTTTTGATGTCGTACTATATACGTCTCGCAATCACATATAATAGCTTTCTCTCTTTTGATATTAACTTATAATCGAAAGGAAACATCATGGAATTTAAAGATTTAAAAATTTTATTGATAGTCAGTATACTATATTTAGCGACAATATATACTGATATTTAAATATATAAAATTACTTCTTCTTCGACACACCGACTGTGCGTCCACGGCGACCGGTGGTTTTTGTGTGTTGGCCACGTACACGGAGACCCCAGTAATGACGCAGGCCCCTGTGAGCGCGGATCTTCTTCATTCTCTCCAGATCTTCACGCAGTTTGGAGTCCAAATTGGCACTTGTGAGCTGCAAATAGATCACACATGTTAGAGAGAGATATCTCACGATGTTAATCTGTGTATTTTTTGTAAATAATGCATCTGTTGCACATGTACCTGTCACTTAAGGTAATAAAAATATTACACAAAGCAATTTCAGTATACGGCAATGCAGTTGCTATTGCACAAGCTACCAGCTGAACGTACAATGGGCATTTGCACGACCAGTCGTGAATTGTGCGATGCAATTTGTAAAGCAATAAAACTAAGAGTTTAACGGTCCATGAGATACGTATAACCAAGTTCACGGAATATTTCATGTCAGTTGGAATTCCAATGTGGAATAGAATATAGACATGTGACTCTTATCACAAGTGTTAAAAGTATTTCATTGAATATGTATCACGTTATGTTTTTCAGTGATAAAGTAATTGTTAAGAGTTGATTCTTTTTATTTACAAAATAAATGTCTTATATTTGTACCTGCGAATATTTTCCATCGACAATATCTTTCTGCCTGTTCAAGAACCAATCAGGGATTTTGTATTGCCTAGGATTTGCCATTATAGTAACAATTTTTTCCACCTAAAACATTTCCAAATATATTATGCATGTTATAAAACGATGCATAAAACAAATCAAGATATATATACAGAATGTCCTCCACTCAAGTTCATATGATTATTTCTAAAACTATTGATAAATATTTCAAACAAAGGTTAAGTGGTTTTGAGGAGAACATAATCTAGTTTTTTTTCAAATGGATGTATATATACGTATATGTGCAAAATATACATATGAAATTTGAATCATCAAAACTATCTTTTCCTCACAACTTACTTCTTCCTCTGAACATTCTCCAGCTCGTTTATCCAAGTCAATATCTGCCTTCTTTAATACAATGTTTGCGTAACGTCGACCAACACCTTTAATTGCAGTCATAGCAAACATAACTTTTCTATTACCATCGATGTTCGTGCCCATGACACGAAGAATGTGCTGAAACTTCTCAGGAATGACGAGAGACTGAAAAATGCAAGTATATTATTAATTGTTTACGTGGCATATACACGAAGCAAACTTAACCTCGATGCGATTCAAAATACTGTGAATCGTTTGATAAACTTTAACTTAACGTGAGTATGCCAAGGGTAATTCGTAACATTAGTAACATGAATTATACAAAACCAAGAAATATATCGGGAAAACTAAATTAATCGTCGTTAGTAAAATTATTGGTCAATCGAGAATATAGGAAAAAGTGAGTGCAACTGCACGCATCTAACCACAAACAATTGTCTCGTAGTTTCTTCAAAAAGAAAGGTTAAAATATTCTTATGATCAAATTTTACACCGATAGAATTATTAATTTGCTAGAACATTTGATAAGTATCGTGCAGGATTTCGCTAAAAAACGTGGATTTTGGCAGATTTTACGTGAAACTCACCATTTTGTTGATATTAATATCCGAAAGAAAGGAAGAACCGTACTGCTACTCTCAACGACAGATCCGGAAGTAGAGGGCGGACAAACTTATGACACACAGGAAGCGGCAATGCGGCAGTTTTTAAAGCCCGTATTAAACTATGGATTAAATATTATGATTGCATTTGACCAATCAGTGCAAAGTTAATTGAATTCAGATTTAGTAAAATTTAGTGAACTTTGCACTGATTAATCAAATTTCAATTCAATCTCAATCTTTAATTCGTAGTCTGATTCTGACTTAAGGCCCATCTACATAAAGCTGATTGCGTTCGAAGAGCACACTTTGCAACCGGAGGTACAGCCGCAAAAGGGAACGCAGCTGACCGCGAGAAAGGAAGACAAACCACGAACCAGAACCAGGAACTGAGGGGAAATCAAGAATTTTATTTTCACGCGTACAACAGTTTATTTTGATTTTAGTTTAAAACAATTTTATTTTTATTTTTAAAAGCTATTCGTTATATTATGGTCACAATGGTTTTTATTTTTTATGTTACGAGTATATCTTAATATAATTTTGCGTTTTATAAAAAGTATAACCAGAAGAAGCGTTTGCAAAACCGCAAAAGAAAAAGAAGAGTTATTTTTTCGATAACACCGCCAAGAGAATTAACATGATTAGTTTATAAAAAATCTAAAGTCATTTTCAAATAAAAACTGGAATTAAAAGGGGACTTCCGGTCATCACGGACCCCAGCTGACATAGAAATAAGCATAGAGATATAAGAATAGAAGGAACAAGGGATATATGCTACCTGTAAGTGGAAGTGATAGAGGTCAAGAGAGAGATGGATGCCGAGTGTCCTATCTGTCTCTTTCTAGTCGAGCGCTATGATTGGTTGTTACAATGAGCCGCCAAGACGACCACGCGACGTCAGGAGGGGAGAAAGCAGACTAAAATTTCGTCTTGTAAATATGCGTGCACATGTGTGTAGAATTAAAATTCGTTAAATATTCAAACGTTAACAAAATAATAATTAGACANGCACATGTGTGTAGAATTAAAATTCGTTAAATATTCGAACGTTAACAAAATAATAATTGGACGCGATTTGTTTAAAAATGAGGCATTGTTTGAAATGCAAGGCGGAGTCTTATCCTGGATGTAACTGCAGTTTTCACTCGTAAGAAAGTACAAATACGTAACCTCAAATAATTATATGTTATTTTTTCCTACATTTAAAAAAATATGTAAATGTTGTAGGCTACCGAAGGATGTAGATATAAAGCGTAAATGGTTGAATATACTTCAACTACCTTTGTATTTTGAAGTGAAAACAGCATATATTTACAATGATCATTTTTGCAATGACAGTTTCTTTGAATTGGATAAAGAAAAATGTATAGCTATATCGTCGTTAGCGCGGCAGCCAATCCCAGCGCGTGACTAGAAAGAGACAGATAGGACACTCGGCATCCATCTCTCTCTTTGCCTCTATCACTTCCACTTATGGGTAGCATATATCCCTTGTTCCCTCTATTCTTATATCTCTATGCATATGCGCACGTACTTACATCTAGTAACATAGAGATAAAATATCTATACCTAGTGAATATCTAACTTAGTGATGTCTGAAATCAGACAAGTCGGCCTCCGATCTATACTAATACATTATTAATGTTTCAAAATAAGTCCGAACGTTCCACCAGCAAGGAGAGACAAAAGGTACGATCTTTTAATCGTAACAGATGCAGCTGAATGCATCTCGTGGATGTATCAAGATTTCACTTTTTAAAGTTACTAACAAGGCATGATAATGTTCCTAGAAAATACATTCTCCCATTGGCTACCGGATCGTCGTATGTTCGAATGTGGACCTTATGACTTCTGTCCACTATTAAGACGTGCAAGACGAGTTTATTCAATAAGAACATGCAGTCTCTGAATATTGCGGCTACCTATATGATAACAGGATTGTACTTCTTATTTCGGTCATCACACACACAATTTCTTGAAATAGCGACAGACAGTGAGATTCCAATATATTAGAATACAAAAATAATATTGTAACAATACAAAATTAATATATTACCAATGTTATTTCCAAGTCCAAATTATAATTTTGAACTGTTGCATTGACTTCAAATAAATATCAAAGTGACATTTAAAAAATATTTTCTATAATGTTTTTAAAATATTATAATAACACTCAGAAAAATCATATTTAAAAATATCAAGAAAAAAAATATATATATATATATAATATATATAATATATATATTATAATAAAAATATAAATATCACTAAAAAATATATATTATGAAAAAAATATTTAAAAAATATATATAGATTATTAAAAAACGTCCAAAAATACATATAAAATCAATATTTCTAAATGTTAATTTAATGTTCCTTGCTTACTGGGTAGTACATCAAAATACATGACTACACTTCGTTAGACGAGGATTGCACGATACTAATTTTGCTATTTTTTTCACACAGTTTTGATTTGAAAATAATGGTATGCTCGTTCCAGTTATACATCGTTATATTTTAATGCTCCTGTTTTATCATTTAAAATTATACGAGAATCTCTGAAAGATCTATGATGAATTTTATCACGCTTTCATTCTTCGTTGTTACAATCTAGCTGTGCTGTTTTCAACTTCAGTTTATATAGTCCACATTCTTCCAGTAATATTGGATACGAATAAATGTTTTATTTATTATCTTAATTATTCGCTTGAAGTTTCATATAATTAATGAAATTTAGAGATCATACACGGTCTGTCCCAAGTTTTTGAACTTTTATTAAAACTCACTCTGTAAAATAATAATTATAAATTTTTATTTATAATTGTTCGAAATACATCTCTTCCGAAGAAATATAATCTTCGCCACGATCGTAGCTTTAAAAAACCCCGCTGAAAGTCTTCCTTTGAAATGGTCGAAATGGCCTCGTTCGAAGCCTTCCGGGTGTCTAAAATAGTGTTGAACTGTTTTCCCTTCAGTTTCATTTTTAATTTCGGAAAGAGAAAATAGTCACATGATGCGAAATCTGATGAATATGGGGAATGATCAAGGACTAAGACCGATGTGGAAGTGAGAAATGTACGCATGGCGTAAATGAACATTGTCATGCAGAAGCGATCAGCTGCTTTGCAAATTCGGTATTGAAGATGAACCCGATCAATTCTTGCTAGCAAATGTTTCGTAACGCCCAAGTAATAATCTCCATTAATAGCTCAGGCCTACAAGGTCCAGACACAAGAAGCAGAGTAGTGACTTCCTACGTAATTTTGGCCGCTGAATCCGTCAGCGAAAAATGTCCATTACGTCAAATTTTTGAGATAAATGGGAGAATATGGGCTAAAAACAGTGATTTTTGCCATTTTCAAGGTGTTACTATGGCTGATCAAATTATGTTTTTAACATTCTCTCAGCGGCATCTTAAAACGCTATATTTTGTCTTGAAATTACGATTTTTTTAAATTTCTGTACGATTTTTTCGCCGAGTTATGAAGGTTTGAAGATGGAAACTTTTTGACGACGAGACTGCAGAAATGGTGAAAAATCGACAACTTGGTGAATTATTAAGTAAATATTTAAAAAATTGGTATCCGTGGATTATTTGGGTCGCTGAACACGAATCTGACTAAGACACAACTAGAATGCGAACAAATCTATAAATGTTTGACGAAAGTTTATACCGTGTACGAACAGCGACTAAAGGCGTTTGAGGCTCAACGTTCACTATAGCAAGTAATGGGTGCATCTAATACTACAACTACTATTTACTGCGCGCTCAGTGAGTAGTTGTAATATTGGATGACTGTAATGTCCTCAAGGCTAGTATTCATAATCGGATCTTACATATGATTGTCTTAAATTCATTTTCAGATGCTGCACGATACATTTCATTGGCTATGAACTCTTACAGAAATTTAATAGTGAGAATTACAAAAAAAATTTACAATTATTAAATACTGGCAGTATTTCAGTAATTATTTGGCCAATACTTAATCATTGATTAATATATTTTAAATTATATACATAAAAAGATTGTACGTTTTTTTACTGATATTAATAATAAAATAAAAATAGTAAAAAAAGGAAAAATACATACTCAGGACAGTATTGAATCATTTAGTTAGCAGTCAGGCATCCTAGATCTTCCGTTACCGGGACATTTGCTTGATATACATATGCTCACTATCCACTGTACTTTCATTGCTTTTTCAATATTTAGTCACTGCAAATTCAGTAATTCTCAATAAAATTTCTGTAAGGGCTATATTTTATCGCTATTGCGCTATTAAGCATTAGTTTATTTAAGTATTTATATTAATGATAAGATAAGAACTTAAGACTGTCTTAAATATAAGATCTGACTATGAATACTGGCCTAGGAATCCTGATTTTTTTCATATTATAATTTGCGGAAGTACTGTATCATAACAAGTACTAGTTTCGTACCGCGCTCAGTGGTGATTTTATTCCGTAGTTTAAAAGTTAAGGGTTTATATATTGCGGCATTGCAGGGCTGCTCTTCCTTCGTGTCTTCTCCATTTGTTGCGTGAGGCTTAAATTCGACGATTTTTTTGTCGCGTCTACATTTTTACTGGTAAATCTTTCCATTGCTCTGGTATAAGAGCCCGTACAAATCCGACCCCAAACCTTACGATTCTCTGCGCACTGTTTGTTCCTTCCGTCGCTGGATGTTTGCTGGATGTCATCTCCTTTCGCAGGCTTGCAGAAATCTTTTTCCAGAAATACGCCAGAATTCGCGACAAGCTGAACATCCTCCCATGACATATTTGTGTCGGATTGCACGCGGTACGGGTAACTACTGTCGCTAGAGAAAGAGGAAGATCGGATAAATAATGGTGGTGTCGTTAAATTCACTTGTTCACCGGACTGATCGCTGACTATGGGCAGTTCGCTCTTCGCTCGAGAACTCGTTCTGATACCGCTAGAACTGTCTAAATGATCATGAACCAAGTTATCGTTCAATATAATTTTTGTTATCGATGTCCTTTTCCTCAAGTTCTCCAAGTTCTCATTGGAAGAATTATCTACCTGTTGTAGAATATCCTTAAGATTTACATTCGCAGTATCAATGCCTGAACTCAACTTAATTCGCTCGGCCTTAGACATTCTAGGTTCCAGTCCTCCATTAATCGTGGCAACAGTCATTTTTTTTTTAGATTGCGTTTCATCATCTTTGGCTATGCAAGTTACTTCAGGATATATGTAATTAGATAATTTCTCTTTTTGACACACCACCACAGCGACTTTCGATTGTGTTTCTAATGATTTTCGGTGTATCTGAATTTTGTCCTCAGGAGTTTCCATCTTGCTGGACATAGCGCCTTTTACACACTGCTTATACTTCTCGTCAACAATAATGCCGAGATTACTTCGAGTACTCGCATTGTCGGCGTAGATAGAGTGTTTATTATCATCTTCCTGTTGTAGGATAGACCATTGCTTCGGGATGAAATCTTCATTCCGACAAATTAATTCTCGTGAGATAACAGAAACGTTCTCCTTAACATTCGTGGTATCTCGTCCGTTTGCCCATATAGCAGAATGATCCCTTGTTTCATTTCGAATCTCGTCCTCGTCGTCATCACCTTCGTTGCAAGAATCATTATCGAAGATTTTTAAAGTTCCCTCGTTCTTTTCGTTGCATTTTCGAAACTCCTCCCAATTCTTTCGCGGCTTGTAGCTTGTTCTGCGCCGAATGATCTTGTTCTCGTTAATGTTGATGTCCGGAATAAAGAGACGCAGCGCCTTCGTACCGGTCGGAAACGTCAGCTCAGTAATCCTCTTCTTGAACATGATCGCCTGCAGGCTCGTCTTCGAGGCTACTTCCTGGTGCTTATTGAATGCCGAAACCAGCTGCGCTACAGTATACTTGGGCTCCTCGTTTTCCGATTCAGTCAAACGATCTTCCTTATCGTCGTATGCAGCCGAGTTATTGGAACAGCTGGAAGTGTCGGAATATTGACGGTCGCATGAATGTTTGTTTACAATGAGCCCCATATCGTCCGAATCTTCCGTCAGGGTGTCCGACTCGATGGACTTGAGGGAATCCAGATTTTCCTCGGACTCCGAAATAAGCTTTTTCGGAGCCTGTAATGAGTCTACGCTCTTCGTTTCCTGCTTCAAATTACTCGAATTGCCGCGTTTATCGCCGCTAAACTCATTCGTTAATGCGGCTATTGGTTGATCTAGATTAACTTTTTGTTCGATTTTATCGGGAATCAAGCTAATTTCTAATTTCGTGTAAGTGACTGCGCGATTGTCACTGATCGAAAGCGCGAGTCTGGAGGATGCGCCGAGTTGTTTGAAGATAGGCAGTATATCATCGGCTTGTGCGCGCTGGTAACTCTTTCTTCGCCGTTTCAAGCACTCCAGACTTCTGTAAATATCTAATACACCCTGAGATTTCGACAGGCATCTTAAACCATATAGTTTCTCGCGAGACTTGCTGATGGCAAGATTCATTGAGATGACGGCGGAATTGTTCGTGGCGGAGCCATTTAGCAGACATGCCTGAGATTGAACACGATTCAGGCTGCGTATTCTTGAAAGTATTCCGCGACTCAGGCCCTGATTCAGATTAGCGTGCGATCGACTTTGAGCTTTATTCAATAATCCCTGTGTCTGTTCCTGATTTAGTAAACAGCTTTGACTTGCGCAGCTCAGATTGGATCCGGATGAATTCAAGCTGGTCTGAGAATCCGTTGAACTGGGTAAACCTTCACTACCTGTTAAGCTGGAACGACTTCTTGTGATGCACTGATTTAGACACATTTCGCTCTGACTTAACAGGCAATCCTGCAAGCTTTGTGGCTGATGGTTTCGATCCTGAATATCTACACAGAGATTCGCCTGACTGGTTGTTTGGCTCATCAATGCGACTCTTCTTAAATTCTCTCTGCTGACAACGCGTTCCAGAAGAATCTCCCTCGATTTCGATAAGTATCTCCTTAAATGCGGGGACGCTTGCATAGGGGCACCTCGCAGCCAATCGTGGTGAAGGCATTGCTTTGCGGTCATTCGTGCACTGGAAAGGATTAATCAAAATCGATCATTTTTCATTAAATAAAGATATCTATAATAAGTTCAATTTTATTAGGTGTATGCAAAAGTTTTAGTCTTTTTTTTTGTTTATCACATAACACTGTTCGATAAAAATCGAGTTTTTTTCCTCCACTCATGAGAAATTCAAATAGTTTCTGAAAATAGATGTAAAAACAACATACCCGTGTCTCAGCGTTTTATCAGATCAAGTCGTTTTCGTTTCTTTTTGCTGATCTATCGTTCATGATATGTAATTGAAATCATACAAGTGGCAAATCAAATGACCAAGATTCTTAACAAAATCCATGAAAAATTTAGAAAATAAATGAAAATGTAAAAAAATTATGCAAATTAGTTGTAAAAGTTAAATACTTTAGAGCTTTCAACTGTTTATCGACTTAGTATTACTATATTCGGATTCAGCGAATAGCAATATTTCGAATATTTGAAAATATGTTTTATTTCTCTTTTATGCGGAAAATACGGATGTTTATCATCATTGATGATATACTCTAAATGGTAGTTAAATATATGCAATAAAAACTGACTTTAAAGAATTTCAGTCAGTCTATTGAAAATCAATTGCAGCCATGTTTCGTCCTTGTAAAATTAGACGAAAAGATTCTTCAAGATGAATACTTTTCCATATTTTAGGGAATGTTCGATCAGATGAGAGGACTCTTAAAATGTTGTAACAATTATACCTTGAATCTAGCACTAAAAGCTTCGCGACAAAGTCCTTTGCCTGTGCCGAAACATCTTCGAAAATTTCTTCGGGAAAGTCCACTTCTCCTAAGGATATATTCTGAAAAGTTTCTTGGTCGGACTCGCCACCAAATGGTGAGAAACCTGTTAGCAATACGTAAGTTGTGACACCAAGCGACCTGAAATACAATTAGTCTCATAGAATGCAAAAAAGAAAACACCGACACACAGGACGGTTGCAATAGTTTTTTTTTTTACACACTTCAGAACACAAAAAATATGACGAAGCGAATCTGTGATAACTGGTCAGACGGCTGTCAAAATTAAATATGTGCATGTCAAAATTACATGTGTATATGTAATTTTGACAGCTGTCCGACTATATCTCTGCGCATGTTTGTAAATCATAGGTTCGTTTTTTTCGTGTGTCCTGAAGTGTGTAAAAAAAAAAACTATTACAACCGGTCCTGTGACCGACTGAACTGTACGTTCGGAAAAAAAAGACAAGAAAAAATTGAAAGAATAATAAAACGTTTACCACATATCAGCTGCCAATGTAATCGGTTTATAGTGCAATATTTCAGGCGCTGAAAGAAAAAAAAAACCAATATGTTTGAATATGCGGAAGTGCGTGTACAATAACTCGGTTCTTACTTCGCATAGTCTTCACTGTCAATGACTTATTTTGTATTTAGTGACTTTGCAAGCGACATCATTCGAGCGCGCACTGTCATTTTTATATATGTATAAAAATCAAACGTCTTGTAGGTAAGTGTATTTCAATGTTCTCAAATAAGAATGATTCGAGAGATGCGAGATATGTGGTTGGTCTTTTACAGAAATTAAGCTAGTGATTAATTACTTCTTTTAAATATTTGAAACACTGTTGGTAATAATTCGTAATGATTAAATGATAGAACTCGCATAAATTCCAAATTTCAGTGCTTAGGGTTACAATGATTAAATACTACACTATCATTAATACGCAGGGTTGGGAAAATGATTTGGGTTACATGGGAAAAGTCACAGGATTTGAAAAGTAACGTGTTACCCATTAAAAAAGTAACTAGTTACCGTTATTTAAGAAGCAATACAAATAGTTAGAAAAAATAACGGTAACGATGTTACAAGTAACGCACTACTTCCCAACCTTGTCAATATGAGTACTTAAATACTAGTGCATAATAGTGCAGTAGTGATGAAATATCCTTAAAGAAACTTAATACTGAGGATTACTGAATTTGTAGTGATTAAATATTGTGAAAATAGTGCAAATACAGCAGATAGGAAGCATACATCAAATGATCCGGTAGCAGAAAACCTAGGATGTCTGAGTGCTAACTAGATGGCCCAATAATGGAGGTCAAATAATGGAGACTGGACGACTTACTAAGTAAATTCGTAATAGTGCTTTTAGTGCACTTTAGATCAATCTATAAATTTCTTAAAAATAATAATTTTTCTTTCAGATGCCCAGACGCTCTTGTGTGACAGACTGTATATAGTTTCAAAGATCTCATTACTCACTAAACTCAAGCTCCATATTCATTACTAGCGTGATATGTTATTTGAAAACAAATTTTTTCCGTGTACCTCATTTAATTTTAAATTTCACGCATAAAAAATTGACGCATATCAAGAATTGAAAAGAAAAGTTGCTCACCGACGTAATCCGGCGTGCCAAGAATTTCTCGTACTTCAGCACCCTCGAGGATCACTCTCGAAATCTCGAAATCACACAACTTAACATCGCACTCCGGGAAGGTGCCCATCATAACTAAATTCTGGGGCTGTAAAATTAAAAAAAAAATCCTTTAATGAGTTGTAAACATGTATTAATGCATTAATTGCTATGGACATCATTAGTAATTGATCAATAAGAGCCATCACTGACCTTTGAATGAGAAAGATAGACCAGGTATAATATAGTGATAATATAGTTTAATTTTTAATCGTATTATCAAGTATTTCACCATTATATATTCTGATGATAGTACAACGGCATAGACGGTAAAATTAATGCTAAATATATTTTAGATTGTCACAAATTATATTCTAACATTTTAAGACGATTTGCAGCAGCGTTTCGCTTAAACCGTCGTACACAACTGTTTCCTCAAACATTAAAATAGTACTCGCTTCCACGAGTAAGCAGGAATGAATTGCATCAGAATGAGACACAAAACAGACTCGCGTATTCAATTTCGTTTACGCCCAACACACAAACCCCACAATCTTGCAGTTTGTATCTTGATTAAATCTGTGACAAAAAGAACGAATGGTAGCTAGTGCGGAACAATTTAAACAAAATGTATCTTAAATGTAGATTTTTTTCATCTATTACAAATGTATCCTAATCGTTTCCTTTTTTTACGGCGAGTTTATAATGTTTATAAATTGTAAAATACCGTGAAATTCCTAGACCTTATCTAGGTAGAAATAAAACATGGGTGCATCCGCTGGTGGTAAAACATACAGTGTGATCAAGAAAAATTAATTTTTTTCTATAATATTCAGAGTTCATAAACTACTAAATTGGCATAATTTCCAAAAGATTTTATGTAAGTAGGAAAACAGTCTTATTGACGCTTCTTTTTAACAACACGACTCAACGCAACGCGGCACGTAGGCGAAATCAGTCCCGGAATCCTGATATACGAGAAGTGTGACAAGCTCGCATCGACCTTTTATGGATCGAACTTACCTTGATGTCCAAATGGGCAATATTTCTCTCATGGAGGTAGGCGAGTCCTTCCACTAGCTGGCGTACAAAGTGTACTACGTCACCTTCGAGGGGTACCAAATCGCCATCAATGAGCGTCTGGAGATCGCCGCCGGGCGCACTGAAAAAGAAATCGCCGCTTCGTGAGATCGTCATCGTGTCGCAGTCGAAAGATAACGTTTAGGACTTATCCTGCAGATTTGCAGGTAGAATGAGCATTTTTTTTCTTCCTTTTTGCTGTAAATGCTTAGCAGTGCTCATAATAATAACTAATACCACCATTTTAAGTGGTGTGTTTAATTGAGCCGAATTACGTGTTACTAACTATTCCATAACCATGATAATTTCTTTCTGCGTCTCGTAGACATCGTGCAGCTTGACGACACGCGGTGATTGAGAACACAGGGACAATAGGGCAATCTCGTGTCTCAGCTCTGCACTGCAATCAACGTTGAATCTGTTCCTGGACGAATACTTCGCCGCGTAAAATATGCCAGTTGACCGAGATCTGCAGCGGTAGACTCTCGCCCACTGACCGCTGTGAAACAATATCAACAAATATATTTTGATATTTGAAAAGAGTGAAAAGGAGGATATTTTGGATGTTCAATCGATGGAATTATAAAATCGGACCAATGGGAATCTAAAGATGGGAAATCAATGCATCTTAACACTTTGCGGGCCGCGCATTTATCGAAGCGCCGTTATGCTGCCGCCGGCGAGATTCACGCAGGTTCTACTGCTCGCCTTCAAAAGTCACGCCAGCGTGACAGCGGCCGATAACCGTTGGCGAGCAAAAGTCACGTCAGCATGACAGCGGCCCGCAAAGTGTTAATATCTAAAATCTAAATCCAACCAATAAGGCAACATTATTATGATATGACCTTAAGATTATTTTTTGTCCCATAACGCTAATCGACTAAATAAAGACAAAAAAAAGACGCGATGTTTTTGACGATAACATTCTCGTTATAAACGACGTCATAAAAATGACGTCACTTAATTGCCATTTTTATGAATTTTATGATTAACAGTAACTTTCACCAACCTTCTAATTTTTTATCAAACGGTTACCTCGACAGAATTGATCAATCGCCAATTACCCGAACTGATCAATCCCATAATCGTCTGATTACATTAACCGAAGGCTGGTGAAAGATATTCTAAGTAACTGTTTAGGTAGCAAGTATACGTCATTTTGATGTCGAGTATAAGACGTGTTCGTATAAGACTCCATTAATGCAGTCTTATTTTTTAGGTATTATAACGTCGAAAATTTCCAATCAGACGTATAATTCAATAAATATTTATATATCATGTGACCGCTGTTTCGAATTATCGTTATAAGTTCACTGGAAAATCTATAAAATATAATAAAAATAGTCATGATGTATGAATATTTAATCATAATGTGCCTGGCTGGATATTTTCGGTGTCAATAAGCCTAGGGGATAGAACTGCATTAAGTAATTTTCTGTACAGATCATATCTATAAAACAATTGAATTGTTAATTAAACTGAAATAAGAATTACCAGAGAAAACCTAATACACATATATATATAATAAGTTCGAATATTTCTGTTGGTGTTGGAGTAATTATCAACTTTTAAGATTATCATAACAAGTTAATATTTCTTCTCCTCGCTATTATTGCTGCAAAATACAATTTTACAAAGTTCTATCACGTTACTTTTAGAATTATGTTGTAATGTGTGAATAAAAATGCATAAATGTATAAAAATGCGCTTAAACGAGAGTAGAAATACAAAAAACATGGCGAAGGCATAATCCACAATTTATGAATTGTGTCGCAGAGTGAAATTCCTTCGAATATAACTGCGATCATATGCGTGATTACATCAGCATATTTTCAGTATATCCAATGTCCCGATGAAACTTCGACTTTTACTGCCGCTCGACTTCACATTTTCGTGATGAATTTATTTCGTCCTTGAGAACAAGAAGTCAGCGCCATTGCCATCTTGACATCCTTCATTACCATTTTGAATACTTACCACGGCGCGTTTCTTCTTCTCTCTTTCCTCCATTTGTTACAATCTCCTTTCGTGGCTCACAAGTTTTCCGCGAGGCTACACGAGCGCTTCCAAAAACGTTGCGGTGCGACTATAGTTAATATGGTCTCGGTAGTCACGTTTTTTACGACTGTTCGAACACCATTATTCGATATAACAATATGCAAATCCTTGCATTATCCGTTGTTAAATTCCTTCGTTGTGTTCGTGATCGTAAATACATTCTCGGTACCGTCGTGATGTGATTCGTTTCAGTTGATTATTATAATTGTTTCGTACTATGACGGGACTAAATTAGCTCGCTTGTAAATATTAAGTGTGTGATGTACACTTCGTTCTAAATTATTAGTACAAAATTATGTGTACATTGGCAATCTGTGTCTTATCAATGACGCGATCACGATAGTCGTCAACGATCATTATGAGCCTAATTTGCTCAATGACTAGCCAACACAATATACATGATTAATGTGTGACACGCGTCACATATCGTTGCTATTGTGCGTAACGCTTTAACAAATTACGCGTCACATTCGAAATCAATTAATCATCGTGCGTGGCACGCAATGCAGTCTACAAGTAGGGAGTGACGAGATCGTCGAGAATAAAAGTCGCGCGTCGCTCGCGGCAGTTTCCACTTTCGCGTAAAGTTCTTCCGTCGGAGGAAAACATTAGGAAATTTCAAAGTCACTTGAATAATGTCCTCCATATATTTCTGTAAAAAAAAATATCAAAACGAACTAATGTTAAAAGTATACATACTGTGTATACCCGTACTTGTGTGAACGTAAAATCTGGCGATCCCTGACGAAATTTTACGTGACTGAAAAACCGTCTCGCGATCCGTTCTTCGGCTTTGTAATTGTAGATAGGCACGAACGTTTTAATACGAGCGTTTTAACACGGACAAATGATATATCGTAAATTCTTCCTGAAGGACTCACCTAGCAAACGGCTTTGGATCGATTTCGTATTGCTCTGTGATCGGTCCGGTTTTGACCAACTTGGCGAGCTGCGCTTCCTGAACGAGTACCAAACCTTCCTTCACGTGTTTCTCGCTCCACTGTACACGGCATTTTCCACTGCATCTCTCTTCGTTGGTCGCTCGATCGTTCGCTCGTTTCGTCTTTCCGCACTTGGCCGAGGATATCTGCAGATGACGATGCTGCGATCTAGGCGACGTCCTTTTTATGGACGACATCGTAATTGACACTTGACGGCTCGACTAACAAATCATGATAGAACTTGCGTTCAGATCACCACGGAGACATGACGTTTCGATGTTGAAATCGAGGACGTGCAAGCGGAGATTTCAACGCTCCATGCGACGATCCAACATATCCGACGATTTTAAGGATCGTGCAATTCTCCCTCCCTCTCTCTCTCTCTGTGTCTCTTTTCTGGAGAAGCTCTCTATTCTCGCCCAAGTGACTCTCATCCGACCAAATCCGGGCTCCTCGCTTTCGTACTCTTTATGCACTCAATCCGGACGTCGTACACTTTCGCTCTCGATCCGATATGCTGCATTTACCGTGTTCGATACCTTATCGACTATGCACTCGAAATTTCGAACTGAAGCACACGGCGTCATTCTATTTTAAGAGAATGCGACCACGGTTCTTTCGTTGCACGTTCGGACAGTCTTTGCATCTTGTAGCGAACGCGTTTACATGCCTTTATTTGCGATAGAGAGNGGGGGGGGGGGGGGGGGAGGGAAGAGAAAAGAGACCCTGTAGTTCACGGTCCAGCGCTGAGTCTGAAACTGGCCGCGAATCAACAAAAGCGCGGACCGCTCCTTTCTACTTGCGGTTTTTCTTCGCGCGAGAATACGCTGGACTCTCCAACCGATCCCGTCTACATGGATACCCTCGATATTCAGCTCACTCTCTCTTACCCCTCTTTCTCCCCACTCTTTCCTCATTAGAGAGAGAAAGCTACACGGCACCTATTGTCCGTCTTTTTCTACCTGATCTTCAGTTTTCGCACCTCATGCTCGGTCTATTCTTACTGTCTATTTATAGATTTTTATACACAAAAGCGGCCCTTATATAAGTACATGGTCATGCGCGCATTGCAAAGTGAGTACTCTATATACATTGAATGAACAGTGTGACATTGCAAGCCGAAATATTAAATACTGGATAAATATCAATTGCGGTAAATGCCTATACGGTGTGCAGTTCAGAAATGTCCAAGTGCAAAAAATAAAAATTGTAACTTGCATTTTTATAAATAAGCATAGCAGCAAATAAGTTGTACTTTTAGGTTAGTTGACAATTCGTAAAACCGTTGTAGATTTCCATCAAATGTAGAAGTTTGATTTACACATTTTCTTTTAATATAAATAAGGGGACATATTTTAGAATCTAACATTAGGTAAGATTAGGTACTTTATGTTTTATGCGTATATAAATTCGGAATCTAGCAGAAGCTACATTCCTTTCGCGACCTTACGATGCGCATGCGTGGAATTTTAATACTTACTTTTAGGGGACGTGTTAAAGGGATTAGTTATCGGTTTAGTGTACAATATAGAAGTCTGTGGTTTCACTAAATGCCCACGACTTTCACCGCGCACTGTTGTAACTAGCTTTGTAACTAGCTTCCTAACGCCAATGGCTTTTGCCTATAGGATGCGGCAACGCTTGCCGTGCGGCGAAAGTTCGCGTGGTAGCCAATCAACATGCCGTTTTTCGATAAGAACTAGAAGTTTATTGGCTACCGTGCGGACTTCCGCCGCGCGGCAAGCGTGTTCACATCTCGTGGGCAGAAGCCATTTGGTGCATTCCATTTGATGGCACAAGTTGACACAAGCATCATCCTATCTTTGTTATTCATTAAATGTGGAACAAAGACAAAATGATGCTTGTGTCGACTGATTGGAAAGCATTATTACAGACCATTATTATAGACCGTAACTAAGTTAGGTCTACGATAGAATTTGAACCCTTAAGAAATTGACCAATCACAATTGATTTCTCTTCTATAATTCGATTGTGGTTGGTCAATTTCTTAAGGCTTGAAGCAGCTATTGTAAACTAAGACCAAGACTAGGTCTACAATAATGTTTTAAGTTTTAAGAAATCACAAAAAAAGCACCTATTTTAGATTAGGGCTGCGTCCCCTTTGGAAATATAAGGTGCGTTCGAGGAGACGCTTGCTGCCTTTATTATGTACAACAAGGGTAGAATGACGCTAAAAAGAGTCTCCTCGAACGCACCTTTATTGTTAATTATATGCCAAAAGAAGATAGAATGACGCAGCTTAGAACTTACAGCGCCCAAACGGACGCAACCTTTGCGCATTATGTGGGAGGCTTGCGGTCACTGCGCATGCGCGAGCCTGTTCTACCATGTTCCGTTAATGGCGTTCATCCGCCAAGACTCCTTCCGTTTCGACACAATCGTGAATCGCGTCGCGACGCATGGTGGTGATCGAGCACGTAGTTCGTCTCCCGATGATGTTTCGCGGTGATTATTTCTGAGTTCGCATTGGCAGATCTCTGCGGAACAGTATTTGGAACGAACGGTAAGTAATATTCTCCCGGCTGTGCGCAGGTTTCGCCGTTGGCGAGAAAAAGCGGAATAGGCGTTAAAAAGAAGGTGGCCATTCGGCGATGTGTCATGGCGCCGGTGCCCTTTGCGATCCGATTCTCGGCTTCATACGACCCCGACGACCATCTTGTTGTCGATAAATCGATCGAGCGCGTAGCTTCTCGCCTACGTTAGTGCGTTAATATGAAGTAACGAATCGGCGTCCTCGTTACAACCAGGCCAACGAAATTCACCAGGGTGAATCAATCTTGAGAACCGATTTCATCAATACATTGTCACCTCGTCCCCGACGGCGCAGTGCTGCGATATTTGACGATCTGACACAATGCCACCAGACATTGCGTGGGCGCGATAATGAATGAACGAAGCCGTGTAACTTCGGTGTCCGCATTAACTGGACATCCGTTATATTACGGACGGTGGAACAGTGATCCACAGTGGGCATGTGTCCTTGGGCGTTCAAAGTTATGCAAAGGTTTTTTTTATGCATGAGGGAACTCAGTGATAAATATTGATGTAAAACATTACCCGTGGATGCCCTCATAGTGCCGACAGGTGAACAAATAATTCGAGCACACTGCATTTTCGTAGTCTTACAGATTAGGTTGGTCTCTTCGGTGGAAATATGGAATCTATGGATGCGCGTCTTGTGGCGCAAGCATTGAACTACCATGGCCAGCAGTTGCAGAAGGTTTGGGAAGGGGAGCGCAATGAAAATGAGCTGGTGATGCTCAATCTCAAGGATCCAAGCTTTGAAATCTACCAACAACGACAAAAGACTCTGAGGTGTTTGTCATTGTATTATAAAAACTATCTGATAATATTTATCAAAGCATCTTGCTCAAATAAAATTTTCTATATTTCAGCTTTGGGGATAGAGGCAAACGTCTAAAGCTTCAACAGTTCCTTGCTAAAAAAGCTGATGCCCTGTATGATAAATCAAATTTGGAGAAATCTGCAGAATACATTAAACAACAGCTAGGAGATGAGGGTAATGATTGCTTGAAATGTCCTTTCTGTTTACCTAAAGTGATTGAAATTAGTTGTACTTTCGAAGTGATTTTCAAGGATTAGGCCATTTTCTTTTCCTTACTGTTCCCATTTGTCTGGTCAGCCTGGCATCTGAATGTCACAATATTAATCTTAGGGTACCATCGCTTTCATGAGACTTGTGATGCCTATTCTAATTATTGTTCTTATCGAAACTAGTGTTCTCTATCGTAATTATAATAATGTAAATATATTGGTAGAGCGTATGAAAATAATATACATGGAGGATTAGTTTCAATCTTTTTGGAAATTTTAAAGAGCAAAAGAGATGAGGAGAAATATGGAGCCCTCGCAAATCACCTTAAAAGTATAAATTCCACATACTGATCTAAATATTATGTAATTAAGCAATGTAACGTTATGCAATATATACACTTGTGTTTTCAGAGTTTTATGCCACAGTACCAGGACTTGATACTTTTGTCACTATGGAGAAGTCTCAGCGTATTCGCAACTTTTTGGAGGTATATAATATTAAAAAATATTAATAAATTAAAAGAATATATAAATAAGTAGTGATGTTCATGAGATGACATTACATTCTTTATTCTTCCTGAGATTTTAAATTAATGTTTTAATTCGACATTATTCATCTGCTTTGCAGAGTTTAGTAGTTGGAGATGTAATTTACGCGCAAGTAATGGGTAAAAGTACCGCTGGTCTACTTCTGAAGGTGCTTTGCAACTGCAGTGACTGTCCTAGAGTTGTTAATGAACTGGGAGTTAAGGTATTTTGATGTGATATCACTAATGAATATTGTATTTCTTCGGCCTTATAAAATTTCATTTTAGATGTTAAAACTTAGACTGATAAACTTTGACATAAAACATAGAATATATCAAAATAAATATTTCCTGTTAAGACTTCTGGTCTCTCGTTACAATCATCTTTGTTTAATGATGTCAAAAGCGAGAAAACTCATGTCAAAAACTCTTACGTTATACATTCAAATACATTTCAATGATACTTACGAAATGATATTCGTGATCGATTCTGTACACTTGTAAAATTGTCCATTTTTCTTTTACTCAAGCAATCAATAGTCGCAACTTGATATGGAACCTTCTTTTTTAACTTCTCTCATGATTTTAAATTAATATACGACTATTTATTAATTGTTTGAGTAAAAGAAGTGTTCAGATAATTTTACAAGTGTGCTGAATCGATGTACAAATATTATTTTGCGAATATTTCTTTTTATTTGAACGTATAATGCAAGAATTCTTGACATGCGTTTCCCTGCTTCTGATGTAATCAAACGGGAACAGTTGCAGCAAGGGACCAGGAAGACCTTAACATTTTTCATGATAACTTTTTTGTCCTATCATCTGCTAAATCTTTAGAGATTTTCATCGTGAAAAAAAATAAGCCGCGCAGTTTTAAAATAATATGTGATTTAGAAATTGTATAACTATACGAATAAAAAAGAAATACTGGAATATTGAAATCGTATCTTTATATCGAGAAAGAAAAAATTAATTAGTACCGCTAGTGGCTTATTTTTTTTTTATGAAAATTTGTTAGCAAACGCTGAATTAAGATATAGCATGTGACGTAACATGAAAACAAGATGTCATCGTGAAAAATTATTATTAAAAAAATGTTTGTTTCGATGTCTTCCATATTGCCAGAAAGTTTGTCAGTCTTAAGTACCTGTTTAATGTATATTAAATGTTAAATGTTAAATAACCAAGTTCCTGACGTTTTTTTCAAAATTATTTTATTAATGCAAAAGAAACAGTACAATTGTTTTAATCAAAATGTTTGCCGCTTGCATCTACCACCTTTTGTCATTTTTCGGGCAGCATATGGATGCCGCGGCAAAAGAATGTCTTTCGACACGATAAAATCGTCTATCCATTTTCTAACATCTATTTCATTTTGGAAGTATGTATCACAGAGACTGTGCTGCATCAATCGGAACAAGTGATAATCAGACGACGCGATATCTGGAGAGTAAACTGAATAGCGAAGAAATTCTAAATCATACAATGTTTGTTTGAGTAACATGTAGCTGCGCGTTGTCGTGGAGCAAAATGACTTTACGTCGTCTTGAGACATATGCCGACCGTTTCTTTTGAAGTGCTTACTTCAAATGGTGTAATTGATCCACATAACATTTTACTGTGACCGTTTGATCTGGCGGAAGGAACTCATAATAGAGCACTCCCTTGTTTATCCCACCAGATACAGAGGAGTGGTTTCTTGCCCTTGTGTAAAATTCTTCAAACCAATCTTGGTATGTTTTTTCTGCCACAACATTGTCGCCATACGTCTCACAAATAATTCTGGTTGCTTCAGCTGCGGTTTTACCGCAATGAAAATAATAAAGCATGCAATGGCGAAGATATATCGTTTCACGTTTCATTGAACTGAAACTATGCTCAACTTTAAAGTAGCCAACTGTCATAGTGTTGATGGAATGTTAGCCAACTTTATTAAACAAAACAAACATTGGCGTCGTGAACCGCAATATGCCGTTGTCAACACTATTTAAAGTAAGCGGCGGGAACTTGGTTATACACCTGATATATGCTTCAAATATAATATCTTTAAATGACGTGTCTTTTGAATTTTAAATTGTTAAATTACGTGTGAAAAGTTTATGTATTTTGTGTATATTAGGCATTGATATTAAATACGGCCACTATGCCGGCGGTGGACAAGAAAGGTGTAACGAGAGGCTACATGGCAAATGATCTCGTCTGCGTCGTAGTCAGTGAAGTTAACGTTGAAGCGGAGCGAGTTGTTGCAGTTATGAACACAGAGCCCCGTGAGGGACAAGCACCACACCCACCTATGGGACTTATCCATTCCGATGATCTTCCGGAAGCTTATAAGTAAGTAATAAAGCAAACTATGTCTAGTCGCAAGTCCGTCGTATTATCATTATATGCTTCGCTAACTTGGTAAGTTGATTCTGTATATCACTAGGAGATTCTATATACACATGTGATGAACTATGAGAGTGTATTACTGTGATGTCATTCTTTTGTTTATTATATATTATTCTAAGAACATTTGCACCAAGATAAAATCAATTTTTTATTTAACTTATGTTATACTGAGATATAAGATTGAAACACACACACATGCGTGCACGTTCATATATGCACGCACCACACACGCACGCACTACATATACACACACACTCTCTCTCTCTCTCTCGACTATGTATCCGATAACGTAATATTTTTATATACAAAATGATTCGCAAATGTTGCCAAAAATTTTATAGACATGTTTTGCATCCTTCCAATTTCAGGAAAAAATCTAATAAAATTGGTTCGCAAAGCCTTCATTTCTGAAATATTTAATCTAAGAAAACATAATAAATGTTCAAAGTGACAATTTCTCAAATTGCCAGTCCATCGGAGAGGAGACACAAGTATATGAAAATAATTTAGTTCTACCGAGAAGCGAACACCCGGGAACTCTAGTGTAACAGTCCAGTTCGCTGTCTGTTACGTCACGCTCGCACTCGCTAAGAAATTGTTGAAAATATTTTCTTTATTGCCTCAAGTAAAGCTGTGTTTTCTAATTACGGTTGTCCAATACTTTAATAATTTTTTGTGTAATGATCTGAATACTTGTAATTTCTTTTTCAACAAATATAAAAGCTATGGATAGTAGTTTCAGGAACAATAAACTACGTTTTGATCAAGTAGTACACGTATATGCACGTATTAACACAATTTCAAACTTGATTTTCTCCAAAATAAAAATTCTAGACAAATAAGATTTATTCAATACTTCCCACTTATTCTTGCATAAAGAATTATCTCTTGTTTAGTAGTATTATGATTTTATCTTCGTTTTGTATATATCCCGAGTATGAATTATTTTATACTCACTACTTACATAACGCTATTCTTTACGAAAATTTAACAGTTGTTCCATAGTGGAAATATTGAGAAGGCCATTATTTGTCGCAATTTTACAATTTCTTTCTCACAACAAAACATATTTGATATGATAGCTAAACTTCAAATTAAAATTTTGTTAAAGTCCGCTTGAAACTGATCGAAGAAGATAATTTTATTGTTAATTTAGTCNATGTATGTATGTATGTATGTATGTATGTATGTATGTATATATGTATGTATGTATGTATATATATAATTTTGAAAGATATTTGGGATATGGAAAAATATTTCAGACTAGACAAAGTTTTAAATTAAAGTTGTTGAGTTTTGAGAGGGATACATGTGTGATGATAATATTATTATGATCTTCACATTTTTCAAGGTCAACTTTTTTTTTTCTTTTTTTATGGGATGTCTTTATTAACATAAATCGATTTTAGTCGCCATTCTATATATAAAAATACTGAGGTAAGATAATTGAAAAGTAAATACTTTTTAATAATCTTAATAACGTTAATACTTTTGTGTATTGAATGACCAAGAAAACTGATTGATGATGCTAATTTTGGTAATTATGCATTTTAGGGAAGGGACTATTTCAGTAGTTTTGACCTTGACATATATTGTTGAGGCCATTTTCTTGAGTAATAAACAAAATGCCTTTACCCATTACTCGTTGTTGTTAAAAACCTATAGGCAAAAGAATTTTCTTATATAGAACATAATTTCCTGACATCATATATATGTCTAATAAGTAAAGACGTGCATGCTATATACAAATATCCACTATACGCTGCGGTTTAGTTTTGATTTTTCCGGTCAAATATGTTAAGTGAATATCGGAGTGGCTGCCGAGCTCCTACAGGAATGTCAGTAATAAAATCATTGGTAATATTACGTTACAACATTATCGATTAAATATATAACATGTGTGTTTGTGCACGAGAAACAAAGAACGAAAACGATTGATAGTCTTTTGATTTGTTCGTGTTGTTTGCACTCGATTTCCTCGTCCTTGCCTTTCCTGGCATCTGAATATGCGACCGTGTAATTCTAAGAACGAAAAAAGCGAAAAATACAAGCGACACGAACAAGTTTTTTATTCAACTAAGTATCTTGCTGTTACGTCCGTATGAGCAACGCTTTAGTGTTTGTACATACATATCAAAACTCGTATCTCGAAGGTAGCCATATGGGTTTTGTGACATAATAAGTGAGAAACGCAATAAGTTTCTTATAACATATATTAGGAAACTTGAAGACATCTTAAGCATCTAGGAAAGGTTCGTTGCAATGTCGGTTGAGCAATGTAACGCATTTGGAGATACGGTCAAGTTTGTTCCTCTCGCTCAATATATGCAGCATCCACTTGTTCAATTTTGACACAAAGCCAAGTTGGTGGAGGCTGTTGACGATGATTCCACGAGCTACCCCGAATTCTGCCCCGAGTTCGCGAGTGGTAGTATCAGGGGTTTCTTTGACTCTGCTTCGCGAGCGCTTTTTATCGATTACAGAGGGCATTCCGGACCTAAGCTCGTCCTCCAGGTTAAAATCACCATTTCGAAATTTTTCAAATCAAAATTGGCATGGCCTGACGGTAATCACAAATAATCCTCTCCTTCAATAACATATGTATTTTAACAAATTATATCTCTCAAAATTGAAAATAAATCATGTTTTTCAAGCTTCCGTTGTTCATAACTTTTTAATAAACGAGCAACGACTAAAACCTTTTAGAGATTACTCAGAATGATGATCTTGACAACGCAATATCAAGGTCAAAACCATTGGAGCTGCCTCTTCTAAAATGCATAATTATCTGTTATTCTCTGTAGCCATTCATCATTATTTGTTTGTTTTTACAATAAACCCATTTCTCTGTTATTTTACAGATAAAAATATTAAGATAATATCATTGAAAAGTAAATATTTCCTGAGATATTTTATGCCAAAGGCTGCGTTCCGATTCATGTTCACAGTAAGCGGCATTCTATCTTTTTTTTGGCATGTAATGGACGATAAAAATGGAATGATGCTTATAGTGCTATAAACGTGAATTGGACTGCGGCTAAAGAATGTTAAGATAAAATATAAAATATTTTAATAACTATTTATTTCTTGATAATCTTATTTTAATACTTTTACAAGTAGAATAATGAGTGGAACTCAAGAATCATATTATCTCATTTAACTCTTTTAGTCATGCAATTCAGCGAACAGGAAGATTTGCACATCATACATGCTATTATAGGTCTGTGGGATGGCTGAATTCAAATCCGTTGTCAGATTTCTAAAATGCAAAATGATGGATATAATATATCGACGGAATTTTCGAAAATTGAGTATATTTGCTTAAATGCCTTCACATTTAGAATATAAAGGTTTCATAAGATAAAAATTACAAAAATAATGTCATAATTAAAATAATCAAAATGGCTGATCAGATATGATAATAAATATTTGAAAATTAAATCTATTTGCATGCTTTCAAATTTAAAAGTTTTTAAACGCACCGATTATAAAAATAATATAAGTAAAAAACATTTAATTATTAGGATATAAAATTGTATATAATATGGCGAAAGATTTGAAAATGCAAAATTCGCTATTTTTAATACAAAACTTTAATAGAAAAATTGAAATTAGCAGCTCCAAAAACCTTTAAATGCATAACGCATAAACCATTTAAGTTATCGCAAAATCGCATTTATTCATAAAAACCTGCATTTCTTCACTTTATATCGAGTTGAAAATTGAACCTGCACAAAAATCTGTAAAAATTCATATTTTATTCTTTTTGGAGTATCTACATTGTTAAGAAAAAGTTCGTTTTTCTAGAATAGTTCACGTACAAATGAATTTAATGTAAAAAAAAAAAGCATTTTCTGTGTATTAATTTGTTTATAATAACAAAGATATTAACAATATTGGAGAAATAACCATTGGGAAATCAAGATTGAATCTCTATATAGTCGAAAATAAAAAAAAAATTAATAGTATTCATAAATATCATCACATATATAATTAAAAAAGAAGATAAAAATGATGTTTTACGTATGTGACGCTGTGACCGAAAGGATAAAAATTAAAGTTGACCTGAACTTTACATCACTATTTTCTTTCCCTTTCCAAACCCAACAGCTTTTATTCCATACATTTTTTGTATAATCTCTACTTTACTCGTTACCTAGATGTGATATTTAATGTTGGGCATCTTGTATATGTAGTATTTTAGAACATGTAGGATCTATTGCAGGGATGACACACATACACAAACAGAGAGAGGGGGAGGAAAATTTAGTAATA